GGCTGGCCAGCTCTCTGCCTTAAGCTCCTTGGAGTTGATGATTTAGTGATGGCAACACCTCATAGCCATGAAACTGAACAGAAAAGACTAGGACTTCTTGCTGGATTTTCCTTCCTTACAGGAGTTAGCCTGGGCCCTGCCCTGAAGTTGTGCACTGCCATCCATCCCAGCATCCTCCCCACTGCCTTCTTGAGCACAGCAACAATTTCACCTGCTTCACCCTGAGTGACTCTGTGCCAGGTGTCATAGCTACCTCTTTCTGGGAGGTATCTTGATGTCAGCCAAGAACAGGATGCTCTTGTTTTTTTTAGGGAAATCTTTTCTTCAGAACTTTTTTCATTCTATCTCATTTCTAGGTGGCTGGATCTGTCCCTGAGTTAAGACGGGTGAAGAACAGATGATAAGAGCTCTGCCTACCTGGCTAAAGAATTATAGACCACAAAGCTGGTGCTTCAAAGCACATTAAAGTTGTCTCTCTCTCGGCAGAATCTAAATGACTTGAATCAAAGATGGAGTTGTTAAACTCCAATCATCTCTAAGAGAGCAAAATTCTCCATTAGGTTTGGAACCTGTTAAGCAATCAATTGGCACAAAATGGAAAAAAAAAAAGAAATTTCAATCAATTGTGTGTCCACACTTTCCTCATGATACACATTTCTGGTTCTCTCCTCAAGCACCATCGTCATTATTACTATGATTATTATTTTTTTTTTTTTGAGATAGCATCTCACTCTGTTGCCCAGACTAGAGTGCCATGATGTCAGCCTACCTCAAACTCCTACTTTAGGTAGCTAGGATTGCAGGCTCCTGCCATAATACCTGGCTAATTTTCCTATTTTTAGTAGAGACAGAGTCTCGCTCTTACTCAGGCTGGTCTTGAACTCCTGAATTGAAGCCACCCACCTGCCTCAGCCTCCCAGACTGCCAAAATTATAGACGTGAGCCACTGCACCCAGCTGGCATCATTATCTTTTACCTAGTACATCCTTTCTCTAACTCATAATGTGGTCATGATTTCTAATGGTTGAGTTTGGGTTTAAAAGTCTTCTGTGGAGTATTGTAAACTCTCTAAATGAAAAATGGAAAACCAATTCTTAGTTGAGAATATGTCATCATGCACAAAATAATAACAGCTTAATTCAGGGCTGTGTGCCTACTATACTGCTAGAGGCATTTAAATGATTCCCAGTCAAACAGCATAATAACTCAATGATATAAGTCCTTCTATTTTACAAAGTATTTTACAATTGTTTTATAAAACAGACTTAAAGAGGTTGATTGTGTTTGCCTTAATCCAAATTTACACACCTAATACATAGTGAAAGTTGAAATTTTATGTAGATATGTCTCCCAACTGTATTCTTAATCAATATATTCTACTACCTTCAAATTACCCTGAAAATCTAAAAATGATTCTGTAGAACAGGCATCCTCAAACTACAGCCCGCAGGCCACATGTGGTCCGCCTAGGACATTTATCCAGCCCGCCAGGTGTTTTTGCCACCCCTGCCTGTCCTATTTAGCAGCCGACTTGTCCCAAGGCCTGCAGTCCAGCCCTCCAAAGGTCTGAGGGACAGTGAACTGGCCCCTGTTTAAAAAGTTTGAGGACCCCTGCTGTAGAAATTTGGATTGGGGCCTGAAGAAATTTGGAAACTTTCACCAAAGCTAGAATCATGAAAGAATTTCTGCCTCAGTGATAGATTTAGCACTTTGGGGGAGCGAATTCAGTTCTGATTCTCCAGCCTTTTTGTAAGGAAGGTTGGGGAAAATGGGTGGACAATGAACCACAGATAAGTTTCTGTGTAACATATCTTGCCTGTGAATTATGAACAAGTCTAAACTGCAGTATTCTCATCATGAAGGCAAAAGTCGAGAGCCCAATTTCTCACAGAATGACAAAACCAAGGGAGAACAGAGTAAGCACCCCTGCGTACTGCCTCCCTGGACAGAAACATGCTCTGAAATCAGCACTGCACCTGCTTCCCGATGCCTTGTGTTTCTATTAAGCCATGCTTCTCTCTGCTTGCCAGAGCCCTCCTGCCTTCCTTTCAAACAATTTTAAAACATCTGCCCTTCCCCTATCCAGCCATGGAGAAGAGCAGAGATGGCTTCCCTCCCCAGTAGCTTGGTCATGGAAGCATAGCCAGTGCTTTCAACTCACCTGTATGGGCCTGAGGAACTGCCCGCTGCTGGTCTGAAGGGCAAATCCCCTTTGACAGGTGAGAGCGCACTTCATGTGACCTGGGCCACTAGAGGTACAGTTCACCACATCAGCGTGATCGAGCAGCAATGACGCACAGCTGCCCTGCTCCCCACAGGGCCGATGGACGCAGCTGGGGTGACAGAAACAGAAGCATCTTAGGACTGGCTGGGAACTGACAGGCAGCAGCGATGACTCGGCAGCTCCCTGGGACATGTCCCTAAACTAGAGAGAACTACTTTTTCTCTAAAACTTACATTTATTTAACTCATCACCTTTTTCTACACACTTGGAACCATGTAGCATAATAAACACCAACAGTGATAGCTGTGAGCAGATCATCAAGGCCGATTCTGGTGAGTGCTCAGAAGACAAAAAGGGTAAGTTTGGAATCTCATAGAGATTGGTTAAGTGGTCCTGGCCAAAACACTAATAAATATATGGACAACAAAGACCATTCTGATAAACTCTCAGGTGAAATCCAAGAACAAGGTATTGGGAACTGGGGCAAAAGTCACTCTTGTCACAACCTAGCAAAGAACTTGCTTCCCTAGAGCTTCATGGAAAGCCAAACTTAGACAGAATAGCATATCTGGCAGAGGAACTTTTCTAAGCAGCAAAGCGCTCAGGCTGCTGTGTGGTTACTTCTAACTGCTTTCAGTTTCTATAGAAAAGAAAAGCAGATTGGAAAGGTCTGGAGAATTCACGACATGGCCATGTGATAGCAAAGGAAAGAGCCTTCTCAGGAGAACTCAAGGTCATGGCTGAGCAACCTACTAAAGAAGAGATTAGTACTGATGGGACGGAGCCAGGTGCTAATACTCAGGACTTGGGGAAGAGGCTCTGAAGGCATGTCAGGGATCTTTGTGGCTGCCCTTCTCATCAAAGGTCTGGAGGTCCTGGAACAGTGCTTTTGGCCAGTGGTCAGATCTGTGACTGCTGCTTCCCCCTTGCCTTTGCCAGGTGGGGCGGCAATGGGAAATCCTGGTGCCCACGTATGGCCCGTAGGCAGGTTATATAAACTACTGTCACCACAGCCTCTGGGGACCCTGGGCAGAGCAGAGACCATGGGCCCAACACCTGCTGCTGGGGACTAAGCTATCCTAGTCCACCATACTTCCTATGGGAACCAGATGGAGCAGGTGCTGATGGCCCTATGTGCCCACTGCCAAGATAGCTGGACTGCTGCTATTGATGCCCTTGCCTGAGAGGCTCCAAATGGGGTGAAAGCCCATACAGCCTGGCCCTTGCTTCTGGGTAGTCCACATGGCACGGACTCTCACTTACTTGCACAGGCAACCTGGGGGCCATACCCTATCTTGGCTGTGTGTGGCCCTTCATGTGTATGAGTGCCCTGCCTGACTGGCCTGCTCCATCCTGAACAGGTGCTCTGCACCACAGGTCTGCTCAGTCTGGGGATCTGACTCCACCCTGCACGTGACCTGTGGCCTGCTAGCCCACTCTGCATAAGGGGCTACAACTCATTAGAGGACAGAATGATTTCAGGGGATTAGCCCAGGCTCTGCTGCCTTGGAAGGCCGCTTTCCACCTGCCACTGCAGTAGCTATGACTCAAGCAGCTGCAGGTGTGGCCGGGTGCAGCTCCAGAGAGCACAAGCAGTAAGCCTCAGATAGGCCCGTGTTCCTGTGGGTTAACACTGCAGGTGCACAGAATGCTAGAGCCCTGCAAACTTAGCACCTTCTGCCTAGATTTCAGAGGATGTACCTAAAGTCCTGGGATCCCAGGAGAAACCTGCTATAGGGGAAGACCCATCACAGAAAGCACCTACTAGGGTGATACCTAGTGGAGCCCCAGGAGCAGGGGCTGCTGCCAGGACACTAGGACTGTGGAGCCACTGGCAGCATGCTCCTTTAGCCTGGAAAAGCTGCAAGCAGTCAACTCCAGCCCTTGACAGCAGCCACATGGGCTATGCCCAGAAAAGCCTTGAGGTGAGGTTTCATTTAAGGGAAGGTAAATCCCCTACTGTGCCCAGGCGGTGGCACACAGAGTGAGGAATTATTTTGGAGCTTTAAGATTTAATGTCTGCACTTCTGGGTTTCAGACTTTCATTCCTTTCTCCAGGCCTATTTTTCCCTTTAGGAATAGAAATGTTTACCCAGTGTTTGTTGTTCCATTTTATCTTCGAAGTCAATAATTTTGTTTGTATTTTATGGAGTTGTAAATGGAAGTAGTTTGCCTTGAATCTGAAATGAGATGTTGGACTTTGGACTTTTAAGTTAGTGCTAGACCAAGTTAAGCCTTTGGAGTTTATTGGGGTGGGTATCTCGTATATGAGAAGGACATAAATTTGGCAGGGATAATTCAAGATACTGTGGTCTGGACATGGGCTGTCCCCATCAAAGCAGGTTCAAACTTGATCCCCAATAGGGTGGTGTTAGGAGGTGTGGAGGCTTGGTGGGAGGTGTTGGGGTCCTGGGTGGATCCCTCATGAATGGCTCGGTACTGTTCTCACAATACAGAGTGCACTCTCATTCTCATGAGACTGGATTAGTCTGGCTGAAATGGATCCGTTCCTGCAAGGATGGGTTGGTATAAAGTCAACATGCCCTTGGGTTTTCCCCTTTACACATACCTACTTGATGTTGAGCAGATGTCTGCACCATGCCTCTTGTCCTTCCCAGCCTGCACAACCAGAAGCTAACTAAGTCTCTCTTCTTTATAAGTTACTCAGTCTCAGATATTTTTTTATGGGAACACAAAGCACACAGGACACCTTCCTTCTCCAAGAGGTCCCTTCAG